CTGGAATAAATTATCATAAACAAACACTGCAAAAAATACTTGCATACACAATAATATTGGCTTTGAAAAGAAAGCTGTACTCGCAGAGGATGAGAAGCATCCAATTACCTGCATGCCAATTATCCCTGGCACTGGCTGCCGGTAATTACCTAATTGCTTGTATGCTGGTGTCCTGGAGTGGTGGTACATTTGATCATCTGTCCTAAAGATCAGATCGATCCCTGAGCACCAAGGGCTGACACCTCTTCTGCATTCACAGCGATGTGGAGCCCACACAGATCGTTAGTCGAAGAGACGGATCTGCTAACGCAAGCCTGAAGCAGCGCTGGGGTGGGCAGTGGGCAGACACAGGGCCAATGCGGACAGGGACAGGTTACGTTGATTGTGTTGGGCTTTGAGACATGGCTTCAGGCTCAGTTTACAGCCCAGTTTGTCCTTGAGTTTGCAATCCTCCTGCCTCTACCCTCCGAGGGCTGGAATGCTGGGCATGGGCACCACAGCCAGCTTTGCTATGCCTTGTTAAACTTTGTTTCCAGAGGCACAAGACTGTCAATAACACCCAGCAGGGAACCCTTGTGTTACCTCCTTTTTGTTTGTTTAAGACGAAGCCTCCCGCTGTAGCCTAGGCTAGTCCGGAACTTGCCATGCACCCCAAGCTGGACTTGAACTAGTGGCAATCCTCCTGCCTCCTCCTCCTTTTCAAGTGCTAGAATTACAGATGTTAGTCACTATGCCATCGATATTAGCTCCTTTTTACAAATGAAGCAGCAGAGGCTTAGGCGCCCAAGAGTACCCTGCCTGTCAGCAGCAGCCCTGAATCCAAATGGGACCCTAGCCCGAAGCAGTGGTTTCCAGGTCATGTGCTCAGGTCAGCCTGCCTGCCCCCAGCACACCAGCTAGACAGTACATCTCTGTGTGCACTTCTTGTGCCACACCCCTGCTCTGGGGTCTGAGTTCACTGGTGGGAGCCAAGGACACTGGAGATGCTTAGGACACAGCCAGGCTATCCCCAGGTCAGCAGACCCAAAAAAGCCAAAGATGTCACAGTGTGAAAGGCTGAGTACCACTCCCTGGGCCAGGCAGCCACAGGGCCCTCCACCTTTAGCCACAGGTGCACAGCCGGGCTCAGAGTCCACCAGTCAGTACCGGGGAGGGGGGGGGGCCTGGAAGGGGATTCTTTTCTGCGCAGCCTCTTGATCTGCTAACACCATGGCAGCCCAACACCCGGCGGCGCTGTTGCTCACGGCCTGGAGTTGGTGATATCTTACTCTAGGCAGCATGAACTGCCTGCAGAAGAGCGGGGCCTGCAGAGCCTCAGGGCCGGCAGGAAGATCCCTGCGGAGCCAGCACCCCGCCAGGCTCTGCATGATGGTCCCACTCTCTTCCCTTCGTGACTCTCACAGGCGCTCCACTCAGAAGAAGCAAGGACACTGGATTCCCCTTACTCCCTGGTGATGGGCCTATAGCTCTGCGGCTATCTTGAGAACTGCAGAGCGAAGGGTGTGAGTAGAGGCAGAAGGCCCCTCTGTGAAAAGGCACAGGATGATAATGGGTGGAGTATTACTGAAGAGGAAACAGTAAAAATCAACTTGACCCAGCACCCTGTGGCTTAGGGCTGTGTCTATAAGCACCCAGAAAGCTCTATCACTTAATCTTCTCTATCTTCAAGATGAGCAGGCTTCTTGCTTGTCCAGAATTAAAAAAAGAATTAAGCATCAGAGGCAGGATCCAAATCAGTCTCATCTGTCTCAAAACTCACAAGCAAGAAAAACTGAAGGTCGGGGCTCACTGCCACCACGTCTGGTTCCTCACTGACCTTACACGACTGGAGGACAGAATGCCCTGACAAGACCTTTCTTTAGCTGCACTCTAAAGTATGTCTGAGGGCTGCAGAATGCTTGTCCGCCTGAGTTCAGAGGCACAGAGATAAGGTTTGAGGTATGGAGGCTGAGGGATGCCAGGAGGCTCTAAGAAGTTTCTGGTCTGGAAATAATTTGGGTTCTAATTCTTTCATTCCCAGCCACCTCCGTGGCACTTCTGTAGAACATCCTTTCTGTAGCATGGGGATGGTGAGGACAAGGGAGGGAGGTGGCTGGCCACCGAAGATTCTGGCTCAAAGTTTCTGCTGTGCTGGAGGCGGGGTATGAGATGAGACAACTCCCCCCAGATGGATGCTGCCTGTGTCCTCAGAACTCTGCAAATAATTCACTTGATTTTTGCCAAACTGGAAACCGCCAGAAAAATAACTTCACTTTGTCAGAAAAATGTAGCTAGGGAATAATTCAGGCATGTGCTGTTCTCATCGCCCGTGCCCTCTGCAACCATGAATTAATTCACAGAAGGACACAATGGGAGATGACGATGGCTGCACCAAAATGGCAAGTCTCTTTCTCCATGAAAAGACTAGCTCTTTGCACAAAGTCTGTCACTGAAATTGCTTTGGCTTTATGCCACACTTGGAGGCACTTGGGATAGGAGGGAAGTTCAGAGATCAAGCAGCTTGACTCTTTATCAGACGCCTGAGTTCCTCCCTTGATGTTCCTAAGTGGGTGAATAAGGGACTCTAAACACCCTCAGGTCCACACACAGCACCACCTTCTCTTCTCTGGGCATCTGGCACTTGAGAGGACATTTCTAGACTGCCCACAGCTTCGCTTCTTCCTCGGCGCCAGAGCTGCCAATCACTCTGCATGCATAAAACCAGTCTGACCAGTGAGACATCGTTGCTTTTTGTTGTTAAAGTTTTTTTTAGACAGATTTACTTGATCCACAATTATTCCAAAATGATTACTCCTCCAAATAACTCAAACTGTGTATTTTTCAACCCATTATCACCAGCAATGCTGAAAGCTGATTATAATCAACTGGCTTTCACAGAAAGAAGAAATAAAGCAAAAAATAGATTTCAGGAGAATCCACTTGGCTAAAAGTATCTCCATCAAGCATCCCATGTTCCCAGCCAGCCGACGAGTGACGGACACTTGTCCAGTGCTGCCCAGCCCACCCTGGAAGTCACGTGGGCAGGCTTCAAATCCAGGAGCTGTACAACTCTATCACCATGACCGCATGATGGGAAACAGAGGCCTGCCTCTTTCCCCTGTCGCCGAATGCTGCATGAGTTCCTGGCTGTGCCCTGAGCACATGGGATGCTCTGGTGCTCCCAGGTCTCTGAGCAGGATGTTCAAGGCAATGCCACCTGAGGGACTGGAGCAGGAAGAGACTATTGTGCATAGCCAAAGGCTACTCTTTACAGAGCTTGCACAGGACACAAGGGCCAGGCCCAGGTGCCTTCCTCTGGACTCTGTCAAATGCTCTCCTAGTGGACTTCCTGGCCCTTCGCTTTTGCCTGCATTTTACTCATTCCCTGGGCATGGCTTCCCTGACCCCCCTTAGCTGTCCCCTCCCTCATTCTTACACACTTTGGGGACTCGTGATCACTGTGTTAGCTTCACGAGCTTCCTTTAGCCTGTACATAAAGCAGTTCTGTTTAGGTTTGGGGCCCTGAAGGGAGGGAGTCTTCCAGTTCATCTGGCACCAGCAGAGTCCTAATGAGGCAATGAATCTTTCAGCGGCTGGATGGCAAGAGTGTGTCAACCCATGACACAGACGTTGTGCTTGAAGGAGCACTTGACCTTCTCAGGGCAGCAGTTCACGGCCCAGTTCAGGTCACAGGGTTGGCTGCTGGGGGCGTGTAGGTAGGGTTCAGGGCTTAAGTTTCTGTCCCATGTGCACAAGCAGGTGAGCTGTGCTGAAATGCGCAAGCATGAAGGAAGTTGTATGTGGTAGGGGCAGACATAGGCAGGAAGGCTACTTCTGCCTCTGGGTGGTCTGGCCCATGGAGCAGCCCGAGTGAGCAGCTTTGTGCCCTGAATACTCTGTGAGAGACCCTGAGGATTCTGTGGGCGCCTTGAGGACTCCCCACCCTTCGCCACTGCTGCAGCCTGAGAACTCCAGGTTGGCTTTGAGGATTCGGCCAGGATCACAAGGAAGGAAATAAAACGTGAATTCGTACTGGAAAAGCGAAGCCAAAAGCCACAGAGCCTGATGACCAAGCTAAGGGTGTTGGCCATTAGAAAGGCCAGCACAAACCAGACATGCAGCTAGAGCCAGGGACCAGGACCATGAGAGGCGTGTTGTGGATGGCTATGAGGTCACCACAGGAAACGCTTAAGAAAAGACTTCTGAGAGGTCCCTCTTGGTCTGGAGTGACCACGCTAGTGTTTAACCAAAGGTTACGGATGATGGACAAGAAAGTCAGTCTGAAGGCAGGTGTGGCTCTTGGGAGACTGAGGCAGTACAAGTAATGAAAGTTTGAGGGCTGCATGGTGAGAGCTTTCTTAAAATGGAATGAAAAGAAACAAAGAAAAACCAAACATGAGACACTAAAGAATGAAAAGAAAATACAAAGAGGGATGGAAAACTCTGATGACCTGGTGTGAAAACAAAACAAAACAAACAAACAAAAAAACCCAAACAGCTTCTGGGAAGACATTTTCTTTTCTTAAAACTCCTTATTTCTCAAGAACCTGGATACAAAACATCCTCCAGACAACAAATTCCATGGCTTCTTTGCTGAACTCAGGTAACATCTTTTTCATAAAGTGTTACTACCAGCCACTAGCTGGAGGGTTTACCCCCACTCCACAGGCCCCAGTCACCTGGGGATGAGGGGGACATTACTCTGGTGGCTCTGTTGTCTTTCTATGGGCAAGAAGGCACAGTTTACCCACCTTTTCACAGTACCGGAGGGTCCATGTGGTACTAGGAACTACAGCCCATAGGATGACACAACAAAACCCTCTACACCAAGGCTGGGCCATCTCCTAGTCCAACTCACTCGCTCTCCTCTCCGCTGTACAACCAAAGCTCCCCAGAGCAAGCAACAGCAGGGCTGGCCCAGAATGCTCTTCTCCACTGAAACACACAGCTAAAGGATTGCCCCAGCCCCGGCAGTTACCCAGCTCGTACGGGAAAACGCAAGAATCAGAGCCACGGCTCACCCTCTTCCTCAGGTTGTAGGTGAGAATCAGGTTCCGGGAGAAGGAGTGTGAGAAGGCTGTGTAGAACTCCAGCACTTTCTGCAGGGCGTCCCTCTTGATCACGTGGAGGTCGCAGTAGGTCAGGGCCCTCACATTGGCACAGGACTGTGCCAGCATTGCTTCCTTCCAGAAAACGTCTCCAAACACGTCTCCTTTCCCTGAGGAGAGACAGTTGTCATGAGCACAGTGTCAGCCAGGAGGGATCTACAGCCTGCAACTTGGACTCAGATAAAAAAAAGAAAGAAAGGAGTCATAACTTGAACCCTAACAGCTTGCAATTTAAGAACCTTTAAGACAGCACACGACACACGCCGATGTCACCCTCTTGCAAGGGTGATGTTGATCAGCTGAGAAAGCCATCGCCTGTCCTCATTGTTCTTCACCACACCTCCATTTTCTCACAGCACCACTCACCGCCTGCGGTGACCTCGTGGCTTGCTTTCTGTCCTTGCTCACAAGAGCTGTGTGCCTTAGTCACCTCAGAGCACAACGCTTTTTCTACTGTATAGCAATTTCTACACAACAATGTGAAACATCCCATTCTGGGAGGGAAGTCCCTTAACACTTGGGAAGTCTTAAAATGACTGGCAAGTCTCAGGGAGTCCCCGAAACTTAACAGATTCACAAGGCTCCTCCCTTCTCAGGTCATATAAGCAGTAAGGGCTGCCCAGAAGAGGAGATCTCCAGCCTGCAAGCTGCCTGAAATCCAGCAGAGAGTCTCCGGGTCGCCACCTTCACAAGCTGGCACCCTGCACAGAGGTAGCCTATGGTGTTCGGGGTGTTTGGGTCGTACATCTGCCTCTGAGATTTAAGTTCTTATAAGAACTCTTCACTCACACTCTTGTGACACAAGTTCATCTACCAAGCTGGACTTTGGAGGCATCATTACTTTGGTGTGCCTTCAGTTCCTTCCCTGACGTAAGTAGGTATTTATTCACATCTCACCAGAAACCGTCACCCAAGAGGTCTACACAGTAGGAGCCTGCCTGGCGCTGGAGGCAACAAAGGTAAGTAATATTCTTCACAGTTGGGGGAGGGGCTTCTGTGTAGACTTCCCAGAGGGACAGGGGACACTGAATCCAGCCGGGCCTATCTGCCTAGAAGCTGGCAAGGAGGGGGTTCAGCCCCTCCCATACCTGTCAAACTTCCCTGCCCGAAGGCTTATTTTGTATCATGTGTCCTTTCTCTCCGCCACGCCTCCTGAAATATGTTCTTTAACCTTGCTAAATGCTCTCCTGGTGGTATACAATACAGTCCCTACAAGCACATTCAGAGAATTAACACAGTATGTGAAATAAGCATGTATCTTGGAGATCTGTGTGTTGAGGTACAGTGTAGGAGCATCGAGAGGGAGCCTTCTGCAGAGGACTGACAAACGCGGGGTTTCTGACGGAGTCTCGTGTCTGACCCCACGGCACCTTCATAAGGCCCCAGAGAGTGCTCTTAGGCTATTCTTTCCATTTGTAGATGCAGCAAGAGCCTCATCCTCACCCGACCATGCTGCACTTCCAACCTTCCAAACGGCAGGAAAACTGTGCTGCTTACGGCAGCCCTGCCAGTTTGCCACAGCAACATGCCTGCCCAGATCCCTCTAACTCAGAGACATTCTCTCCACCTTTCCTAACTCTGAATGTCCCAGCCTGTGTCTATTGCAAGGCTGAGTTTATCCCTGACACAGCCTCTGCTACGTGGCTTGACTGTTCACCTTGCTTATACACGTTCTGGGCAGGTAAGCACAATTATGGGCTTGTGAGGAGGCGGAGAGGAACACACAGGAGGGAAGAAAAGCAAGAAGCGGCTGAGCAGACTCCCCACATCCAGCACCCCTGGAGCTCGACTGGCAGCTGTTTTCCCGCCAATGGCCAAGAAAACGGTTATAACCTGAGGCACGGGGCTCAGTGGCTTCTCCAGCACCCCTGTCTGCTTCAGGTATACAAAACACTCCACAGTCTTCCCTAAGCACCCTCAAAACGAGGCACTACCTCTGCTTCCTCAACCAGGCAAACACGCGCAGCTTAGGAAACTGCTTCATGCTCTTGGCACCTGTTGCTCCCGCACGACGGCGGTTTTAAAGACTTGGTGTTTGTGAAGGTAAATAAGACATCACGGTGTAACTGCCAGGTAGATGTGCCAAGTTCTAATGTTACCTGTCTGTGATCTGTGCGGCTAAGGCAGGGGTGCCCACGGGGAAGAAGCTTTTCTGTGGGATGCTACCTGGTTGCCCTGGAAACAACTCTCTCCATGGTCTCTACAGCACTGAATCCTAGGAGCTCACTTACGGATCCTGAGCATGCCATAGCCTGCCCACTGTCAGCTGCAGATCCTCAGCGAGAATCCCATAGCCTGCCCACTGTCACCTGCAGATCCTCAGCGAGAATCCTACAGCCTGCCCACTGTCAGCTGCAGATCCTCAGCATGCCATAGCCTGCCCACTGTCAGCTGCAGATCCTCAGCGAGAATCCCATAGCCTGCCCACGGTCAGCTGCAGATCCTCAGCGAGAATCCTACAGCCTGCCCACTGTCAGCTGCAGATCCTCAGCATACCATAGCCTGCCCACTGTCAGCTGCAGATCCTCAGCATGCTATAGCACTCCTCTGCTGTCTACACGACTCCTCTGCCCTTCTTGTCTGTGTAATCTTGCTCTTGTAGAGAATGTGCTTCTGAAGAAACACGCACAGTGGATAAACAGGTGGTACCGTGCCCTCTGGTGGTATGTTACATGTGACTCACCTGAGGAGGTGAATAAAGATTGGACATAGTCATTTAATCTGGTGGAAATGACATTTGGGGATTTTAAGACAAGGTCATAGGGAGCTGATGGCCTGGGTCTTTTGGAATACTCATTCCAGGAAGTCTCTACCTTGAAATCTGATCAACACGGGGAAGAACCAGCTACACAAGAGGTCTTATGAGCGTTCTGATCCCCAGTCCAGCTCTCATCTGACAGGCAGCCATAGCCACCAGCGACATCAACAAGCCTCTGACTAGTGTAGCAGTCAAGCACTTGGGTGAGCACAGACGTAGAAGGCACCTGTCTACAGCTGAGAACCCACCATGACAAGTATTTCATTCAGGTCGTGTAGGGGCCGTGCCCCAGCAGCAGACGCCTGGGCACATCCCAGGGCTCTGGGCTGAGACACGGCCTCCTGGGTGCACTCGCCATCCCACCAGAACGTCGCCCAGCACTCTGGCTCTTGCTGGCACCTAGTGTTTCCTAAAGAAGGTGAGCAGAGGGGGCGAGGCCTCTCTCTGACAGGCTTTCCCAGCGGTGAGGAACAAGGAGCATCTCAACAGACCGGCTTTCCTGGCTACACCTTTTGAGCATCGATGGGTAGGGCAGCATCCCCGAACTCTGCAGTTCCTGTCAGAGGAAACCTGCTACAATGAAGCTGTAACTACAGAGCAGACGCTGATCGGTAATTTTATCTGTTTCTTACCAAGATTACCTCATTTAAACAAGACCCAATACAGATGTATTATGCTTCTTTAATGAAATTGGGAGTCGTTTTCTTATTATAGAAGAACCCGTAAAGTGAAATAATAGCTCCTGTGTGCAGTTAATAAATCTGACTGTACAGATTTCATTATGAGGCCTCTCAAGGGGGCATCTACCACACAGAGCGTGGCAGTCAGCTGGGTGGCACACACATGAATCAAGTACCCGGGAGACAGCAGCGCCTCACCCCGGGAAGCTTTCCGCAGGGCTGGAGTCTTGCTATTGTCCTGACAGGGACTAGCTTCCCAACCCAAGCTCCACGATAGCTAATCACTTCCCTCGAAGGCAGCCACCTTGGTGCAGGTGCGCTGAGGACGAGGTAAGCGTGTGCTACGCAGGACTCCTTGAGTCTCAAACAAACCCTGGGCGCCTCTAGCACATGGGAGTTTTAAGACCCGTGTAACTCACGAAAGCTGAGCAAAGCAGGCTTTGACAGCCTCATCAGTGTGACACAAACAGCTGGGAGGAGACTTCAGGTCAAAGACCGAGAGACACGGAAGCCAGGACAGACACGGTGCACGTTCTAGCTGTGAGCGTGACGTGACCACACCCTCAAGAACAGAAGGCCCCCAGTGTACCGGCAAAGGTCAAGCAGCTTAGCGACTGGAGTGCAGGGTGCTTTGAGACTCTGCACTCAACAATGAAGAGTTGCCTTGAGACTCCCTGGGTTCTCAGGCTGCAGGCAGATGTTCTGAGCTGGGGGACAGGAGGAGCTGGAGGGACGGCATGTCTCCTGTCAGAACAAGCCACCGAGGCTGTGGTAGTGCGCCACCCCATGCTCTCCCGAGAGTTAACGCAGTTCTTCACAGCACAGCAGGAACGGAGACCCTGCAGGCAGCTGGCACGGTGGAAGGCAGAGGCGAAGGCGCTGCAGGGTGGATTCAGGAAGTGCTTGGGGTAGGGCCCTGGAAGCAAACAGCCTTCCTTCATGTTGACCTGTTGCAGGGAAGGGGTTGTGACTGGAACCCAGCAGGTCCAGCTCGCTCAGACAGGTGAATCTGGCAGGCCAGTAGGTATGGGGGGGGGGGGGGCGAGGCTGCTCCCTTGACTCCAATGACACGTTCCTTTAAAGACTGCTCACAGAATAGCCCATACCAGTGCAGCACGTCCAAAGCTAGCACCTCTGTTGTTAAAATCACCAGCCATTTCAGACTCAGATACACCGGGAAGCGCTCAGCCAGCATGCCCAGCTGGAAGGGCTGAAGTACCTGCGGGCAGAAGGCCCGGGTGCCACCCTACTGAGAGGACTTTCTACTTCCCCAAGGGCATTTGCTTCTAGAAGTTTGTCGTCACTGCAGCCTTTGTGGGAGAGCAGCCCTCTTTCCAGCCAGTACAAAGGAGCCACAGTGACAACCCTCCTTACCTATCTCTAAGTTAGCGACAGGCACTACCGTGGCCAGTGAAACCTGCGCAGGCAGCTGGTGACGGACGGCCTCTCCCTGAGAGCTTTCGGCTTGACTTCTTCAGGGTGGGTCTACCTCCTTCCGCCTCTGCAAATGGCTCCCCAAACAGTAACTGGCCTTGTCTTTTGTGGGTCAGCAATCCTTTCCATCACCCCCCCCGGGCTGGAGGAAATGGTGGAGGTCATTTCTGGGGTCAAGGAGCTTACAATGAAAGAAGAGGAAACTCACACATGTGTGTCTTAGAGAGCAACGAAATCA